AGGAGGAGGTAGAGGAGAAGGCGGAGGTGGCAGCGGAGGACGAGGGGGTGCGGGGGAGGAGCCGCTGGTGGTGCCTTCGCGACTAATGCACCTGACCCCACGTGACGATCGATAGCGCGACGGTGGACGCAATTAAACGCAAACGACATCCAGCAATGAGGCACGTATAGTCATTACCAGATGAATTCGAGCACGAACAACAATAGCGCGGCATAATAAAGGCAATTTATAAGAGTGCAACGTTACGCCGGCCGATTGATCGTCCGTTTTAACGGCGCGTGCTCGCTCGCCCGCTCGCTCGCTCGCTCGCTCGTTCGCTCGCTCGCTCGCTCGCGAATTATTCATCGCCCGTGTAGAGCTTCCCGGAAAGAAAAGCCTGTCGCCGCCGGACGGACGGACGGACGGACCTTCGGGGAGCCGAAGCCGCGCGCAAGACACCGTTTCCCGTCGCGGCGCCGCGATTTGAAAACCCGCGGACTCTCTTCATCACCCGGCTCAAGCCGACTTTGCTCTTCTGCCGTCGCCGTTAAACAACACGAAACGAGTGCATAATCTAAGGCGTCGAAGGTGGACGTAGGCGAGGGGATAGGAGAGGAAGGGGAACGAACCGTCGAAAACGACAGGTTTTCCTCGACGACGTCGCGAGCTTTCGCTGAAAATTCGATCCTGCCTCCCCGACTGACTCGCAAGTCTCATTCGAGGGCGAGACGCGCTGCACGAGCGGATCCGCCGATATCGCTAATTACAATTAATCTCCCTCCCTCGGGCGGCTTTCCTCCTCCTTCCTTCGAATCGCGAGTGAAAGATCCGGCCGTGTCGGGTGACTACTTAATTCGTGATAAGCCAGCTGCGCGCTCGAATTCGCGTCCTCGCGAGCTCCTCTCTCTCTTGCGCGCGCGGGAAGGAGGGGTGGAGGGAAAAGAGAGAGAGAGAGAGAGAGAGAAGGAGAAAAAAGAGACACGTGGGAAACAATAGGGGGAGAGAGACTCTAATCTGAAGGGCACTGGATCGAGCGGTTCTTCTTCGGCATTGTCTCCTCGGCGAACCCTTTACTCCCGTGCCGCGCCTTTTCTTCACTCCCCACCGGCCTTTTCCACGACCCTAAGAGAAAAAGGAAGAGAGAGAGAGAGAGAGAGAGAGAGGGGGGGGGAGGGAGAGGCAGGGAGAGTTTCGTACTACGAGGGGCGGCCGCGCGCCGGTGGAACAGTTACCGTATAGATAGTCCCTCTATTCTCAACGTTATCCTCATGCCTCGGTAGGCGCGCAAAGGAGCGACGGAAAACGGAGGGAGCAGAGGCAGGGGCGAGAGGGCGAGAGGGATTTTTATTCTTCTTAACGAGAACGAGGTGTTTGCGACGTCCGAACCGGCGAGACGAAATTTACGCCTCGCCCCGGACCTCCCGACGTCGACCTGTTCGCGCCGCTAACGATAATTAGCGCAGTCACGATTATTAACGCGTTCCGGTCGCGACGATCGTGATCTTCCCGGGCGGAGCAAGACCGGAAAACCGCGCAGAAACCTGCGGTTCGCGTCAGACGCGTCTCCCCCCCCCCCCCCGACGGAATCCGCCTCTCGAGCTCGATGAGCGACGCAGAAAAGACGGATGAAGGGAGGAAGAGAGATATCATCAAGGATCATCGAGTATCGCGTGAAAGAAACCGGGGGGGGGGGGCCGCTCGCATGCGACGGAAAATCCACGGAGGGACGACGCTCCGAACGAAGATTCCGCCGGAGGGCCTCGCTCTTCCAAAGGGCAAAGCGCGCGCGCGCGCGCTGAGGCGAGCGTCGTCTCGCCGCTCGTCGCCGTCGTCGAGCTGCGAACGCCCGAGAAAGCCGAGAGGAGACGCTCCGCTCATCTCGGCTTGCGTCGGCCTTCGCGCTCCTGCGACGCGAAATTCGCGTCGGATCCCGCGCGGGGAATCCCGCTGGATGAAAGAGCCGCTGCTTCATAGCGCGGCGGGAGCGACAAGGGGTAGACAGGGGGAGGAGGGGGATGGAGGGCAACGACGACGACGATGACGCCGACGACGACGGCAGCGGCGGTGGCGTGCTGGCGAACATGGCGTCCGGAAAGCGAAGCCGTGCGAGGCCGAGGTCGCGGCTGCGCCTCCGTCCGACCGCGTGACCACGATCAATACCTGTAGGCGCGCGGCGCGCTTCGGCGTCGCGGCGCTTCGGCGTCGCTTCGCCGGTGAGCGTAGGTAGCTTCGCGTCGCCGCTTCGCGCCGCTGCCGCGCTGTGCCGCGCCACGCCACGCCGCGCGGCGCGGCGCGGCGCGGTGCGCGATGCCGCGCACCGCGCACCGCGCCGGAGACGAAGGATGTTGAATTCGAAAAGTGTTATTCCGCGCGTCTATCTCTGAATGATATGGAAGGGAACGCCTCTCCACGTGGCTGCCACGTGTGCGCTTCCGCTTCGCGCGCGCGCTCGCTCTCTCTCTCTCTCTCTCTTTCTCTCTCTCTCTCTCTCTCTCTCTCTCCCTCTCTCTCTCTCTCTCTCTCTCTCTCTCGTTCTCTCGCTAGTCTTCGCGCGTCTCCGCCGAAACGTTTCGCGCGATCATTCTCCCCCTCTCCCCCCTCTCTCTCTCTCTCTCTCTCTCTCTGTGTGTGTGTGTGTGTGTGTTTGCAACCTGCGTCGTACTGTACCGTACCGTACCGTCTCGTCATGTCGTCGGGGGCCCACGACGCGAAATTGCCGGGCCCGTCACTCTGTCTCTCTCTCTCTCTCTCTCTCTCTCTCTCTCTGTTTCTCCTGATCCTCGGCGAGAAATCGTCCTCCGGAAAATGTACGTTGCGCGCTGCTCTCGAACGTGTCAGCGTGTCGAGCGATCGGGGGCACAGCCCCCGACGAATCGCCCTCTTCTCGCGGAACCCTTCGGCCGGCTTCGCAAGTACCTTGCGGTGCCTTGCGAGTTTGCGCTCAAACGGATGCGTCTCGCAATTTTGCCGGAAACTAATGATCGATCTGTCGCGCGCTTGGCCCCGCGATATCGAGCGTCGTCGTTGGGCAGACTCGCTGGCGGTCGCCGAGCCGTTCGTAAGCCGCGAACCTGCTCATCAGAGCCATTCTTGCCCGTGTTACCGCGGTTATTATCTCGCGGCGAAGCCTGCCTGTCCCCCCTCCGCGGCGAGAGACAGAGGACAGTCATTGATCTCGTCGGAAAAATCACGGACATTGAGGAACCCTCCGCGCTCTCTCGGTCGCTCGGCGGAGAGGAGATTGAATTTTTCGTTTCGACGACGCGCTGACACAGTTTGTTTTTCATCGAAGCACCGCGAATCCTCTCCTTGCCGCGGGCGAGCTTGCAGATTTCGGCAACCCGGAGCTTTGCCTCGCGCCTCGGATTACCGGGACGGTCGAGTCGTTGGGGATTTTTATAACTGCTCGCCGTTGCTGGCTGCCTTTCTCTCCGCAGCAGTTTTATCGCGGGGCTGAGAACCGCACGAAGATGTAATCAAAGCGTTACGCGTAAACCTTGCGGGCGCGATCCTGAGCGGTCGATCGCGCGATGTAATCGAGGTAATCCCCGGCGCGTTAATAAAAAAATGAAGAGCGCGCGCGAGATAGCGGCGAATCCGCCGCGTCGGAGATGAGAAGCGCGGAAATTTATACAACTCGCGATCGCGGGACCTTCGATCTCCCGCCGCCGATTTATGAGATATCATCGGATCACGCGTAATCCTTCGATTGCTCGGCACGATGTATAACGACACCTCGGAGATGCTTTATCCGCCTTGTCCTCGCGCGAGAGACGAGGAAGGCCGGTTCGTTTGATTCGCGGGATATCGGCGGGCGATCCTCGCGACGCGATGCGAGCAGGTGTGATTTTTCGCGCCGACAACCCCCGAGAGCGCCAAAAGCCGCTCCGGAAGTATTTCACGTATTCGCAAAGTCACCAGCGAGAGTACCGCTCTCTCTCTCTCTCTCTCTCTCTCTCTCCTTCTGTCACTCGCACAGCAGTCGCCTGGCAACCAGGCGGCCCTCGCACGCGGCGAGAGCGAGTGGTCGCAGGTCGCGATCGGAATTCTCAGCTGGCCGCGGCGCGCGTTACTCTTCATCCACTCTCGCAGTTGTCGGCAACGACACCTCGCCACGCGAGAACAAGCGTGAGATGAGACTCTCTGTGTCCCATCCCTCTCGTTTTCCTCACGTTCCAAGTGAAAGCCGAACTGACCGCTGCAGAAAGCACCCCCCCCCCCCCCAAGCACTGTCAAAGCGGCGGGACACTCCATTGAGTGTCTCGACTTCTGGCTGAGTCGTCCTTTTTCGCACTTCGCAGGTTCGCGATCTGAGAAAAGCGCGCGTCGCCAACGAGCCGGCGGCTCAGCGTGCCGGGCTCGCCGGGGTGCGACCGAATCGCGATTCACGTCGCGATCCGCGTAGATCGAGGACGCACAGGACGAGAAAACACTGGCGAGACACGTGTGTGTGTGTGTGTGTGTGAGAATGTGTTTATGTGTGACGTGTGAGACACACGAGAGTGTAGCTTGGTGGACGACGCACGCGTTTCCGCGCGCGTGTGTGTATTTCTGTTTCTTACACGTGTACAGTGTGCGAGAGGTTCACACGATGACGACGATGACGATGACGATGATGACGACGACGACAACAATAACAATAACAACAACAACAACAACAACAACAACAACAACAACGACGACGACACAACAACGACGACGATGACAAGACGACGTAACGCCGATCAGAGCGACCGGGCTGATGTTTGAGCACTCTTTTCCGCTCTTTTTGCCGTTCCTTCATACAGAAGTGGAAAAAGACGCGCGCACGACAGGCGCGCACTTTTCTGCATCGTCAGAGAGGTGAGACTTTTTCGAGAGTGTTTTCGAGTATACGAGTACACGGGGAGGTTTCTCGGGGATAGGGAGGATTTCTGTGAAAATACTTTTAGAATAAGCGGTTCTCTGCGCTCGAGAGTGAGTCGACTCTGTGCGAATCACTCTCTCTCCGAGACGAGAGGTCTGAGCCGCGGACGACTAACCTGCTAGCCGCAAGGCCGACATTCTCTGTATCTCGGGCTCCTGCAGCCACTTCCACATCCGCCGGAAGGTCTCTCGGCCGCTCTTGAGCTTGGACCAGGGCTTCGGGTTGCGCAGCAGGTCGCTCAGCGTGCCCTGGCTGCGGCAGAGCACCCGCTGCGCGAAGATCGCCTGCGGTATGCTGTACCTCTTGAGCTCCGCGCTGATCCGCTGCGCCAGTTCCTTCGTGTTGATCTCCTCGACCTCGCCGGCGCCGTTGCCCGCCGCCGATACCGTCTTCATCACCACCGACGTGTGTTGCACGTGCTGCGTGTGCGATATCGTCTGCTGCAGCATCGATTGCTGCTGCTGCTGCTGCTGCTGCTGCTGCTGTTGCTGCTGCTGCTGCTGCTGTTGCTGCTGCTGCTGCTGCTGCTGCTGTTGCTGCTGCTGCTGCTGCTGCTGCTGCTGCAGCTGCGTCTGCATCGGCGGCGGCGAAGCAGCCGGTACCGAGTGCGTGGGCGGTGAATGATGCGATGGCGCGAAACTCGCGGTCGCCGAGACGGCCGGCGGCGAAGACGGGCTCAGCGCCGCCGGGCTCTGCTGCATTCGCGGCAAAAACGCCGGGTCGTAGTGAGGACTCGCGGACTTGTGCGGTGAATTGAGGCCGCTCTGGCTGTACGCGCTCTGCGGCGACAACGGGCTCGGCTGCAGTCCCGCGCCGGGTGAAGGATAGTTGTGCGGCGGCGACATACCCATGGTGGGTAGCTTGTCGTACGCGTACGGCGAGCTGCCCATACCGAGGCCGATGTTACCCAGGCCGTTGTTCTGCATGACGGCGAAGCTGCCGGTGACGCCGCCGGCAGCGTGGCCGCCGTACACGAACTTGTCGCTCATGGTCGAGATCGGCGGTAACGGCTGCAGCGGCGTCAGAGTCGCGTACGACGAGCCTGGACTGAAGCCGGGCGGCGACATCCTCTCCGCGACTGAGGTTAGTGTCTGATACGTCGGCTCCGGCTGCATCGCCCTGAAGTCCGTCGCGTCGATCATACTCGCGACCGACACGCTGATGCCCGAAGTCGGCGTTAGCTTGCCCGGACTGAGCAGCTCCGAGTCGGCGTCGCGCGAGTCCACGTCCACGTCCTGAGGCGGCACGATCACCGACAGGGACTCCCGCGCGCTCTGCCTGCCACCGCCGCCACTACCACCACTGCCACTACCGCCGCCGCCGCCGCCGCCGCCGCCGCTGCCGCCGCCGCCGCCGCTGCCGCTGCCGCTGCCGCTGCCGCCGTTACCGTTGTTGCTGTTGCCGTTGCCGTTGCCGCCGCCGACGGCGCCTCCGCCGCCGCCACCGCTGTTACCGCCACTACCACCACCACCACCACCACCGCCGCCGCCGCCGCCGCCGCCACCGCCACCGCCACCGCCGCCGCCGCTGCCTCCGCCGCCGCCGCCGCCGCCGCCGCCGCCGCCACTACTATCACCGCCGCCACCACTACCGCCGTCGACGCTCGGCGGTTCCTGGGACGACGACAGGTCCTCCGCGGCGGCGAGGTCTCGCTCCTCCTTGACGCCGAGCGCGCCAGCAGCGAGCAGTTCCAGCGGTAGGCTCGCGCACGCGATGTCGGGGCTTTGAGAGGCCGACGAAGACATACCCTCGACGCTACCTCCTCCGTTACCACCACCACCGCCGCCGTTGCCACCCCCGCTCCTACCCCCCGCTTCGACGACCTCGTGCTGATGCTGCTGCTGCTGCTGCTGCTGCTGCTGTTGATGATGGTGGTGATGGTGGTGGTGGTGGTGGTGATGATGATGGTGGTGGTTGTGATGCCTACCCCCACCCACCACGTTGCCCCTACTTCCGCCGCTGTTACCACCACCTCCCGCCGCCGCTGCTGCTGCTGCTGCTGCTGCTGCTGCTGCTGCTGCTGCACCTCCTCCTCCGCCGCCACCTCCACAGTTCCCATTCGAGCCACCCCCACCGCTACCCCGACCATGCGTAGACACCGCCGCCGGGGAATCGACCGGGTCCAGTAATTGCTCGCTATGCGGTTGATGATCGGCTATGTCCCCTATACCTTCCATTTACGCACATCTAGTTCGGGTGGGCGCACTGCCACTCGCCGCCGCGACTCTGTTGCTGTTGCTGTTGCTGTTGCTGCTACTCGTTTATTCGTTCGTTCTCTCACTACCGTCGAGACAACACTGTGCGCCGCCGTAAACACCACCGCACGCACGTCGCACACCACCGTACGCACAGTTTTCGCACCGTACCGCGTCACCGCGTGAACGCAAACGCAACCGTCGCGACGCACGCTCGGCGTTACCGCGCGCGTTACGCACGTTAGACTCGAGCAGAGTCGGTCGCGGACGCGCGGATTGAGAAAGCGGGGTGTTGTCGTCGCGGCTCTCGTCCTCTTGTACTACTTGCACCCGCTCCTCTTGCTCTCTCTTTCTCTCTCTCTCTCTCTCTCTCTCTCTCTCTTTCTCTCTTTCTCCTCTCTCTTTCTCCTCTCTCTCTCTCTCTCCCTCTCTCCCTCTCTCTCTCTCTCTCTCTCTCTCTCTTTCCTTCTCTCTTTCTCTCTCACCTCTGTTTACGTCGACGGAGCCGAGCGTCGCCGCGAGAGGGTGCTACGACGAAAGCACCCTATATCCACTGATCACGCCGTCACTGTTGGCTACGCTGTCGGGCGATGTAGTAACGCGGCGACGACGACGACAACGACGTGAACGACCTCGGCGAGGACGACCTCGCGACAACGCGCTCCCGAGAGCGTACGAGCCGGCCGCACGACGACGACGACGACACCGTTCCCGATGAGAACGAAGACGACGGCGACGACGACGACGACGACGACGACGACGACGACGTAGTAGACGATGTCGACGGTGACGCTAACGTTAACGCTACTCCACCACCTTGGCCACGTCGGATCGGCATAGGGACCCGGTAGCGCAACGACCACCGTGCGCCCATGACACACGCGGAGCGAGTGAGAGCGCACGCTCCGCGCCCGCGAGAGTGCGAGCGCACCGGCTCCCGGCGGAACGAGAGCGCGTAGCTACAAGAGAAATGGAGAGGAGCTCGGGGAGTGCTGCGAGAAGGGGATCGTTCTCTCTCTCTCTCTCTCTCTCTCTCTCTCTCTCTCTGTCTCTGTCTCTCTGTCTCTCTCTCTCTCTTTCGCTCCGGCTATTCTTCTTCTGCCTCACTCGCTCGCTCGCTCGCTCGCTGTTTAGTTCGCTCGCTTGTTCGTTTGCTCGTTTGTTCGTCCGCTCGCTCGCTCGCACGCGCACAGCCGGTACCCCGACGGGACCTTCCGCGCGCGCTCCGCCCCCTTCCCCTAACGGTCCCTACCTCGGCGGTGGCTACCCGTCACTACCAGCAGCACCACTGCCACCTGGTCCGTCCTATCGCGCTATTAGCGCTACTCGCGTACGGTGTGGCGCGCGCTCGTCTTCCTCCTCTTCTTCTTCTTCGTCTTATCCCTTCGCTTCTTCGTCTTCCTTCCTCTTCACCTCGCTACCTCGTTCGTCCCCCGTCGTCGTCGCTTGGCGCGCGATAGAGAGGGATGCGACCGAGTCTCTCGCGCGTGCCGCGCGTTCCTCGCCTGGTCCAGGTGCTCGCGATCGCGTCTCGATTCTCCCCCGTCTGGCCTGCCCCCTCCTCACCCCGCCACGTGTCTGTCGGTTCGGTTCGTATGTTCGTTGCTGCGCGGAC